GTACATTATAGTTAGGGGTTTTTTTTCTTTTTAAACACGCCCGCGGATTATTCTAATCTGTACGCATTGGACTTCACTCCCAATCAACCGGCCTTTACTTTGAAAGGGGGGAATGTATTTTAAACTCTTCGGGTTTTTCACTGCTGTCTGTAAATGATGTAAATACCAATAAAATGCATTTTTACTTACATGCCAAGCAGCTTCTTTTGTTTCTTGGGTAAGTCCATCATTTTATACTGTTGTGTGTATAGGGACTTGGTGAGGGGAATTTATCACAACTGGAGCAGACAAAATCTGGAGCAGCTGTGCATGGCAACCAATCAGCTTCTATCTTCAGTTAGGATTTGAAAATGAAAGATAGACGTTGATTGGTCGCCATGGGCAACTGCTCCAGTTTTGATAAGTTCCCCTCGGTGTACCTAAACCCAAGAACAGACATGCAGTGCAGCTCACCAGTCCATAGGTGTGACCACTGCATACATTTCCTTTTCAGGCTTTTCTTCTTTTCTTCCTACCCAGTGATCCTGCGAGTAACACACTTCCTGCCCTAGGATGACAACACTTGCTCACTGTAGTGTATCTATAGCGCAGTGTTGCCAGCCTAGAACAGGAAGTGTTAGGGCTACAAAACGGCTCCCTCGTTTTTCTTCTCACCTCTGTAACATAGAGGGATGTTTGTTGTAGTCCACAGCTGACCCAGGCAGGGCTGATGATGCTTGGGGGTGGGGGGGGGAAGAGACACCCGGGGTCACATATAAATGTCCTCGGCTGAAAAGGTCACAAGTTGAAAATGTTTAAGAAGGCCTGCCGTAGACTACCACTTTACTTTAAATGGCCGAAAGGGAGGCGTGGCCAAGCTTGGCTTTTACAGAAAACATTGAGGTTTAGGGCTCGTTCAGATGCAGCAGCACTCTGTGCTATGGCCGCATACAAACTTGATGATGAGCTGCCTTAGTTTGGTCACGGCTGTTCACACACCTATGCATGGGGCTGGTTCCTGTGCGGACCCTTGTCCTGTATAGAAGCAGCGGTATCTCTGCAAAATTACAACACTCCCCCTGCTGAGTCAGACCTATAACTCTGCAAAACTTGTGCTCCCTGCTGAGTGGAGAGATCTAGGGGAGCATGTAGTGTCAGAACTCTGCACAGAGGCCGCTGCTTCCCCACAGAGAGCAAGGGTCCTTCCTTGCAGCATGTTGGCAGGGTCGTCTAAAAGAAAACCTGCAAGACTTTACACACCCGGAATATACACTGAGTGGCCAGATTATTATGACCACCTGACGTTTGTAGGCAAATTAGCTATAATTTGGCGCTGAAGTTGCTAGAGGGCCAGACCATTATAAATAGGGAAGCAGGTTGTTTACCACGACAGTGGAAGTGATTTCTTTCTGAAGATACGGGGAAACAACGCGATTTAACAGCCTGTGAACGTGGGATGATTGTTGGCGCGGAGCCATGGAGCGAGTATCAGCAAAACAGCAGAATGTGTTAAATGTTCAAGAGCAACTGTTGTTAAAGTGTTTAAAGACTGGACTGTCAGCCGAAAATCTGGGTCTGAACGTGCGAATTGTGGCCGTCAGCGACTAGTCAATGTTAGGGCAGAACGGAGAGTGGCAAGACTGGTACAAGACAACAGAAGGGCAACAGTGCTGTGTTAGATTCCTCACATCACCTTTCAGCATCTCGTGGAGTCACGAGGCGGCCCAACAAAGTACTGATGGGGTGGTCATAATCAGGGCTCAAAATTTCAGGTCCTGAGCTATTAGCCAGGCCTTCAAAGTTACTCGCCACCAGTTGCCGTGCATAACGCAAACAACAGGGCATAACACATACAGCCACAGCACAGAGCATAACACATACACATTTCATCTGAAATTAATTTTTAGTCTTCGCACATGTCTAATAAATAATAATCTGGCCACTCAGTGTATTTCGATGATTTACATTAACAATTCTGTTTGCCTGTAAACGTTGCCTGCTTTGCTTTTACCTGTATGCAGAGTTCAGTGTTGGCAGGAAACCGTTCATAATCCCAATAAAGAAGAACATTGCAAGAGTGCATACAGTTAGACAAAGAATTAGTTAATTTTCCATATTTATTTACCAATTGCACATATTCCCCTCCCCCTAAACCCCCCCCCAAAAAAAAATAGTAAGCGTGGAAAAAAGAAATATCTTTATGAACACACACAACCAGAACCAAAGCTTTCTTTTTTGTTTTCTTGTAAAGAACTAAACAGAACTGGAAACTTGTTGTTGATTTACTCTCTCTTTACTGTTTCAGCAAAGTCGCGGCAGCTTTACAGCCGCTGCTATTTACTGTAGAAATGTTGATGATTTCATTTACCAAAACGGGTGCAAACAGAATCTGGCAGTTAAAAGTTTTCTTTAGCTCTTGGCGCTAATGGCTGCCAGCTGGACAATCCGATTGCTGGTTGCTCACTCAAAGTTTTCAACAGTTTATCACAGTTTTTTTTTACACAGACTTGAGGGGCTGCTCATCCAAGGCTCTGGGGCTTCCACCACGAACATAGGGAACAGAGCGCCACCTCCGTGTGTAAAATCGTTTATTACAATAAATAAAACAAGAGATTAAAAGTACTCACAAACAAACGTTTTCATCACGCTTTAACAACAATTCTGAGGAAGGGGGCTTGCCCCTGAAACGCGTCAATCTTGGCTGACTGCGGTCCGTGGACGGTGATGTGACCGGATACTACCGTGTTACATAGTCGGGGGGATACCATGTTGGGTCAACAGACAGTGTGGCCTCTCGTTTGTTGTTAAAGCCTAATGAAAACGTTTGTTTGCAAGTACTTTTATCTCTTGTTTTATTTATTGTAATAAACGATTTTACACACGGAGGTGGCGCTCTGTTCCCTTTTGTTTTCTAGAATCTGGCAGTTGTGCATAACGAGCAATCGGCTTGTCTCATTTTCAGAGCTTAACTACCAACTGAAGAGCAAAGCTGATTGGTTACTATGAGCAACTCCTCCAGATTCTGTCTGCTCCAGCTGTGATACATTTCCTCCACAATGTTTTGCAGCTGA